AGTGTACAACATCGAGGGTCAGAAAAGGAAGTCACACCCACAACATGAACTACGACGATACCACCAGGAACAACAAGAAAGGCAACAAGAACTGCAACAACACCAACAACAACAGGGGTTTGACACAACCTCCCCGTAGCGTGGCTTGATGTGGGGCATCCCAGCAGTTTAACATGCACCTGTCCATAGAGAGGTTAGGTGGGAGATGCCACTATCGTTGTGTAGGGGGGTGACTGGGGTAGCATGCAGGTGCAGTGCAGAGCGTGTGTCTGTACCAGGTCTCTGTGAAGCAGGCAGTAAAGGCAGCGGTGCCGGGCGAATCCGGGTGGGGGGTGAGGGCTCTTGCTCTGTTCTAGGTTTTCAGGGGGGCCCAGGGCCTTCCGGGAGATAAGAGGGTGTGGCAGCCAGCCATGGCACAAAGGCTGCCTACGACACAACCTCCACCCCTCTCCGCTCAAACTCTCACCCTTTCAGACAACGGAGGGGGGATTGAGAGAGAGATCACGGCGAGGAGAGTGCGTCAGAAAGTTGTCATCCCTGCCCACCCCGTCCCTCCCCAACAACCCACCCTGCTTCTCAAAGCAAGGAAAACAACAAACACCCCTCCCCTCCCTTCACTTGAGGTGAGCCCAGCCTTTGTGCGATGCTCTGATAGCACTCCGCTTTAGCTCTGGCTTGGTGCCAGTCCGCATGCAAACTCTAAATGGGCTCAGTCAAGATGCTATGTGCAAACGAGCATGCTGCGGTGAGCTAAGTCTAAGTCCTCTTGGATGATCTCCAGATCTCAAAGCTTCCCAGAACTTGCTCCTAGTTGGTTCTAAGCTGGCCATTAGAAAGGTTTTACATGTGCTTAGACAAACAGTTGCTAATCTACATTTAGATATACTGTTTTTCAACCAAATGCATCTTCTGTTAACATGTTTGATGTTACACACATTTACTGGAATCTTTAAAGCTACACTATGTAACTTTCGGCCCTCTAGCAGTTAAAGCAAGTCACGCTTGCTTTAGAGTCGCGCTTTGGTTCTGCTGTTCCGCACATGAAATTGATGGCTTATGGCACTTCCACATAATAAACCAATAAGCAATTAAATAAATATGTATATCTGAAAATACGCCTTATGAGCAGGTAAGTAGCTTATTTGCAAAGAGTTGTTTTAAAGGGAACCCCAGGTATTAAGACTTCAACTGTTTTACTAGTGATAAGAAGTGGAGAAAACAATGGGAAGATGGCTGTGGACAAATAAAACTTCCTAAAGACCCATGTCTTTGTTTTCTCAGTGGTCTACTAAAAGCCTCAAAGGCATCAGAGCTAAAGTTTAGAGAACAAAGATACGGGTCTTTATTAAGTTTTATTCCTCCACAGCCATCTTCCCATTCTCTTAAACTGAAACTTACAACCAAAAGCAGCAACAATGTGGCATCAAATCAGTATTTTATTTTCCAAGTTGTGTAGGTCACAGAGTGCAACCATTTGACGTCATCGAAGTAATGGCGCCCCCCATAGTCCAAAATATGTATAAAATGTAGATTTTTTAAAATTACATAAATCTTACGTTTTTTTTTTTTACTACATTTTTTAGTAAGAGAAATAATGTGCGTTATATTAAGCCATACAAATCTTAATACTCGGGTTCCCTTTAAATTAACATTACAAAAGATCGGTAATGCTGACATTAGACATAATAATTGGTATTCAAATCAGATAAGGCAAAACGGTGGCTAGCTGACTAGTATGCTATCTAAAAGTAATAACTAGTTTAGAGACTGGCATTGCTAGCAACATAAATATTGTTGTGTGAATCTAGTCAATGCACAGTAAATGCGCAAACTAAACCTATTTCTGGAAAGCTAAGCTAGTGTTGATTCGTTTTTAGTGTGGACACTCGCTTTCATTTTTACTCACAAACTCTTTTTGGTACGAGGTTCTTTTGTTGTGGTCTGACCTTTTTTGTGTTATTTATACGGATACGATGTATACACGCACAGATGAATGACTGAATTATGCAGTTTCCCGTGAAATCTGTCCTGACCGCTTTACAATATAGTGATTCAAAGTAAGGCAAATATATAGTTTGGAAGATGGATTTATGCAGCACTTGAACAAAAAAAAGTTACATAGAGTAGTTTTAAGTAAGCATACAATGTTACTTTCTCCAAAGTTCCCACCTTACTACATAAAACTGGTCATGGCATTACTAATACTATACATTTTAAATGTTAGCATGTAGTTAGCAAAAAAGGCTACACATTATTCTCTTTGATACTGATGTTAATTCATAACTGTCATTAAACATCTTGCTCAGTATCCATTTTACCATTTTGCTCGCATGCACGTCAAACGATGGGCCAGACTGCACGAGGTTCTGCTACAGTCTACAGAGCACTAAACCAACTGGGTTAAATGTCTAGACCTAGACTAAAGCTGTAATATAGTGGTTTAGAGATGTAGCCGGATCATTTTAGTGGCCAATTTTTCAACAACTAAACATCTAGCTAGCATGTGCTAATGAGGTAAACTACCATCTGCTGTCGCCTGTAAAGAACATATTAGCATACTTAAGAAAATGTTACATTTAAGTAACTTACAATGACATATTTTGCTACAGAAAAAAACTACAAATTACACATATCATCCCTTAGCATTCTATCATAGCATGTAGCTCAGAATTTGGCACTTTAAATGATGATCTAGTTTTGGTATCTGTTGTCTGTAGCAGAAGCCCAGGCCCTTGTGTATGTGTGAATGTGAGTGTGTAGTGGTAAGTGTTGTGTTCATGTATGCAAAAGTGTGTGAGAGTGTGTATGTTTAAGTGTGAGTGAGCCTGTTCCAGGCTGGCAGGCAATAGGAAGCATGCGGTGCCGCTCTTACTTAAATCCCCATCCCGTCCCCCCCAGCACTATGGCTGCCATCAGGATGGCCCCTGCGATGGAGCCTATGATAAGGTTGGTGGCATTTCCTCCCTCCTCGTCTTGTTCTTCATTCTTGATCCTCTTTTCTCACTTTGAATTTTTTGTTCTATGTTAATGCCCCACATGGACCAGAAAGGGAAGCACCGCAACACTCCATTAACACAGGGTGATAATAAAAATATCCATGATAATAGCAGCCAAGGGAGAGGAGAAAATAAGAGATATACCAATCAATCAGTCCAATTACACAACAAAAATTACAAGGCACCATCACATTCAACACAACGGACAAAGCCACTGGGAGAACACGTACACACAACCACACGTACACACGGGGGATCACAGGATCTCCCTCTTGCTGGGGGAGTGGCATTAAAGGGTTAAGAGGTGCTTACTCTATTCCCCACCCTGTGCCTCCAAAAATCACCCCCAGGGCCAGAATGGTCCCTGCCACTGCCCCTATCAGCCTGTTTGTGGCCACGCTCACTGTGCAGAGGAAATAGGGGTGATTCAACAGAGAAAATGTCACTCAAGGCCCCTTTTTTTTTTTTTTTTTATTGTACACGTACT